TCTCTGTGAGTTCAAAGCCAGCCTGGTCTACATAGTGAGTTCCAGGACAGCTGGGGCTACAGGGAAAACCTGTCTCAAAAAGACCAAAAAAATTATAATTTTTTTTATATTTGTATTTATTTATTTGTGTGTGTGTGCACACATGTACATGTACATGTCAGGGTGCACATATGGTCAGAGGACAACTTGCAGGAGTTGGTTCTCTCCTTCCACCATGTGGGTTCTGGGATTTGGACTTGGACCCTCAGACTTGGTGGCAAGTGTCTTACCTGCTGAGCTATCTCACTGGCCCAGACAGAAATACTACAGAGTCTATCACTCCTAGAAAAATTTCAAGTAAAGAGAATAATATAAATCTTTTGAAAACTTGTCTTCCCTCCCTTGCTTCCTCAGTTCAGTCCTATTTCACTGTTCCTTTTCTCTTTAAGAGCTATGTATTGCCCTCATCAAAGGCTATCACTGAATTGCCTGAGCCAAAGGATACTTAAGCTTTAGCTGAGTCAGATATTCTTCCATATCTGTGTACATCTGAAAGTGTCTTGGTACATTTTTTCATGTGTATTGTAGAAAATCACAGAAAAGACAAATTACTTGCTTACTGATGTACACATGTACTTGTTAAGTGTTTCTGTTTTTCCATCTGATGCATCAAGAATCGAAGAGGAAGCCAAGTAAAGCATTACATGTAAGTTGACAGAATGATGTGCTTATTAGCTCATTGTCTGAGCTCTCCTTTATGAGACAGTTCTGCAGTATCATTACAGACAAGCTTTAAAATGCTTTATGATTTTGATGTGGTTTGTTCTGCATTACTTACTCCAAAGATCACATTGTAACTTGCCCTTTGTTCAGAGGTTTTGTGGTAACCTTTGGCCAAAGGGTCCAAGTTCTTTCTTTGAGTCAAGAAGGCCAGAGGCTGGCCAGAGAATACCAATTATGTCTAAATGGATAGCAGATCAAAAACGTTTTAGAAGTGTGCAAGTAAACATGATGTAGAAAAAAAAAACCCTGATATTTTAAAAATTTGGAAGAAGATGCTGCTGTAATGTTAATGTTGAGTGTTTTGGGGGGGTGCTGAACCTAGGGCTTCATGCATGCTAGGTAAGCACCTTCCCACTGAGCTACAACCTGCTGCCATCTTTTTTAAACTTTAAATTTTTTTATTCTTTAAATTTATTATTTTTATGTGTATGAGTGTTTGTCCGCATGTATGTTAAGTGCACCACATGTGTGCAATGCCCACAGAGGCCAGAAAAGTGTGTCTGATTCCCTAGAACTGGAGTTATGGACTGCTGTTAGCCACCATGTGGGCGCTGGGAACCAAACCCTGGTCCTCTAGAAGAACAGCAAGTGTTCTTAACCCCTGACCCATCTCTCTAGCCCCTCAAACTCTTTTTAAAAACATTTACCATTTATTATTTATTTATTTATTTATTTAGCGGGCATGCCATGGTGCATGTGTAGAGGTCAGAGGACAACTTATGGGAGATGGTTCTCTTTACCCACCATCCCACCTGGGATGGATCTCAGGTTGTCATGCACTTTTACCCACTGAGTCATCTTGCCCACCCCATCCCTTTATTTATACTTATGAGTGGGTCACAAAACTCAGGTAACTAGATCCTTGAAAAGACCCACCTGAGGCATGAAGTGGAGTTCTTTCCGTTACATTGTCTTTCACAAAGATGGATGCGCCTTGATTAATAAGTGCCTCCACGCATTCTGTGTGTCCCTTGAAGGCAGCTAGATCCAGTGCCGTGCGGCCTTTCTCATCCCTTATGTCCAGGTCCATCAGAGACTTCAGAAGGACCTCCAAGGCTTGGTGGTGCCCATTATAGGCCTGCAGAGAGGAAAACAAAGACTCACATCCTCATGTGCCTCAAATCTCACAACAATCCACCTGAGGGCCTGAGTCCAGAGACTCCTCCAAAGAACCCATCAGAACCTTGGGGTAATTACTAACTGAAGCTAGACTGAAAAACCAACTCACAAACCTGCAGTTATATATTAATTGATGTTTGTTCTTTCTCCCTTATTAAATAATTTGTTCCAAAGGTACTACATGCATGCATCAGTGTATGTTTTCTATTTTATCTATCAGTATAGTCTAATATAGACAGATGAATGAATGAATATAGTCTTATGTTTGTCAGTCGAGTTCTAAACATATCAATGAATGAAATGAGAACATTTTTCAGGAATCTTTTTTGTTAGCAAAACTGGAGAAAAAAAATTACTAGAAACATTATGGACTCTGGGATTCAATTGAGGCATGTAGACCCTCCCTCATGGCCTACCTATGTGACTAATTTCTAACCCTGTGAGTGTGAATATAGGCAAGTTTCTTAATTGCACTTAGAGTTTGTTTCCTCATCTATAAACTGAAAGCAATAAAAATGGCCTCTCGGGGCTGCAATGAAGATGAAGAGATAAATTGCATAGGCTTTGCATAAGATCTGATATGCACTGATGTCTTTTCTTTATTTCTTCTGTTGATCATAATGAAACCACAGAAACAGTTATGGAAATAATACAACATGTATCATGGCCAAGTTCAGATCTATTATAAAGTCTTAGGCTGTGTCAAGATTAAGAGGCTTCACATTATTAAAAACAGGATTAAAAGTCTGAGAAACTTTATCTGGTCTATAAAGTAAAAATAAAATTACCCCCCCCACACACACTGCAATATCCAAAGGATATTGAAAATAAAAGAGAGAAAGGGGATTCCTTGTCATGGCACACCAGACACCAGGGGAACCACCACTGCTTCCAGATCCTTCGCATCTAGACCAACCCAGTTCCTTCTCTGGTCCCCAGGAGTCCTCTGGGCCTGGACCCGCCCTCACCTCTCTCTGATCCCTGGGCCTGCACAACTCACAGGCCTCTCTTTGGGGTAAGTGGATCGCGCCCTCCCTGCCTTGACTCCCCCAGTCTCATTCACCCTCCCATCTCCCCTGCCCATCTCTCCTCCTAGCCTGGGTCCTGTCCTATTCCTTCTCTGGGTGCTCCAGGAGCTCTCTGGACCTGGTCCCGCCCTCACCTCCATCTGCTTCCCTGGGCTGCACAACCCACCAGCCTCTTTCCTGGACGGTGGGGCTGACCTTTCCTCTTCCTGATCCTTTGCATCCAGACCAACTCAGTTCCTCAGGGCAGTCCCCAGGAGCCCTTGGGGCCTCTTCCCACCCCCATCTCCCTTTGCATCTCCGGGGACCACGGCCACCAGCTGCCCAAGACCAGCATCTTTCCTGGGCCCTGCTCCCAGGCCAGTCCAACCCCCAAATCCTGAGGCCAAAATCTTTCCTGAAGAGATCCAGACCCTAGGAGAATGCCTGAGAGCATCTGATTCTCATCTGACTTGGGCCTCTGTGGGAACTCCTGAAGACAAAAGCAATCTGGTAGCTCCAATATAAAATCAAGAGAGAACCGGAAGCTTAGATGAACCAGCTTTTCACGCCCAAAAAGTAAACCACAAAGACACATAAAGTTTACAAAAGAAGAAGACCTAAACTTGAAGCCCTGGGTCTCACAAAAGAATGAGAAACTACAAATGAAATTCACATGTCAAAATCACAGAGAAAAAATAATAACATGAAAAACCAAAATAACATAACCCCACCAAATACCAATAGTCCTCTAGGAGTACAGTGAGAACCCACTAGAGATAATGCAGGACATGCAATTCAAAAGAACAATTTTAAACATGATAAAAGAATTCAGTGAATTTAAAGAACACACAAAGAAAGAAATCAAAGACCTGGAGGAAGATAGGGATAAACTTCTGAATGAATTCAGAAAAGAGCTAGAAATATTGAAGACTACTCAAGCTGAAATGAAGAAGGAAGTGAAACACTTGGTAAGCCAATAAGAAACAACAGGAGAAAGCCTCACCAATAGGATGAATGAAATGGAAAACAGAATATCAAGACTGGAAGATAAAGTGGACAAACTAGACCACTCAAGCAAAGATTACGAAAAATTTAAGAAAGCACGAGAATGGAATATGCAGGAATTGTGTGACACCATAAAAAGACAAAACTTATGAATCATAGGCATGAAGTAAGGAGAAGAATCCCAAGATAATGGTATGGACCAGAACTTCAACAGAATCATAGATGAAAATTTCCCCAAATTAAAGAAAGGCATGCCCATACAAATACAAGAAGCATATAGAACACCAAACAGACAGGACCAGAAAAGAAAATCTCCACAGCACATCATAGTAAAAACACTAAATGCACAAAACAAAGAGACAACACTGAAAACTGCAAAAGAGAAACAAGAAGTCACATATAAATCCATTAGGATTACAGTTGACTTTTCAGTGCAAACTATGAAAGCCCGAAGAGCCTGGACCAAAGTATTCCCAGTTTTAAATGACCACAGATGCCAACCCAGATTACTATACCCAGCCAAAATGTCTATTACAGTCGAAGGGGAAAGAAAAATATTCCATGTCATAAATAGGCTGAAGGAATACATGTCCACAAAACCAGCCCTTCAGAGAGTTCTGGACACAATACAAAGACCTGAAGAAAGGAATAACTGTACCCAAGGGGTTGCGGAAAGAAATTCAATGAAGGTATAACTGTGGAAAAGTACAGCTATATCAAGAATGTGAACAGAAATAAAAATGA